TTCCGTCGGGCCACTCTGCCATAAAGCCCCGATTGGTGGAGGGCTGCAGTGATGGTTGTCTTTCTACAACTTTCTCCCATCTCCTGACTGCATCTCTGGAGCTCAGCCACAGTGATCTTTGGGTTCTTCTTTACCTCTCTCACCAAGGCTCTTCTCCCCCGATAGCTCAGTTTGGCCGGATGGCCAGCTCTAGGAAGGGTTCTGGTCGTCCCAAACGTCTTCCATTTAAGGATTATGGAGGCCACTGTGCTCTTAGGAACCTTAAGTGCAGCAGAAATTTTTTTGTAACCTTGGCCAGATCTGTGCCTTGCCACAATTCTGTCTCTGAGCTTTTCAGGCAGTTCCTTTGACCTCATGCTTCTCATTTGCTCTGACATGCACTGTGAGCTGTAAGGTCTTATATAGACAGGTGTGTGGCTTTCCTAATCAAGTCCAATCAGTATAATCAAACACAGCTGGACTCAAATGAATGTGTAGAACCATCTCAAGGATGATCAGAAGAAATGGACAGCACCTGAGTTAAATATATGAGTGTCACAGCAAAGGGTCTGAATACTTAGGACCATGTGATATTTCAGTTTTTCTTTTTTAATAAATCTGCAAAAATGTCAACAATTCTGTGTTTTTCTGTCAATATTCTGTCACAGGTGCTGTGTGTACATTAATGAGGAAAAAAAATTAACTTAAATGATTTTAGCAAATGGCTGCAATATAACAAAGAGTGAAAAATTTAAGGGGGTCTGAATACTTTCCGTACCCACTGTATATATATAAAAGTTAATTTGTACAGTACTTAAAACCGCATGTTATTATTCTGAGAAAGTTGGTGGTTTCCCTAATTTGGGGTGTTATTCAGATGGCTAGGCAAATTTGATTAGACACAATTCATTTATAACTTTTTTCAGAGAAGGCCTAAAACAACATCAGAATTGGTATCATGCAGTTTTGGTGAGGAAAAAAAGCAGTTAAAATTAAATTATATAATTGACAAAAAAAAGTACCAACACTGAATATGGTATAAAACCACAGTAATTCATGTAAAAATACAGGCTATCATTTAGAAAAAAAAATGGTGGGTTTTTTTTTTTTAGATTGGGGGGTGTTTTTTTTGGTGGGTCAGGCAAATTTGATTGTATGCAATTCATTTATCATCTGGAGTTTTTTTCAGAAAATGCAGAAAAATCAGAATTAGTATCACAAAGCTTTGGTGAAAACCAAGACAAAATAAAACCAAATACAACTGGACAGGTACAATCTAAACTTCCTAAAATTTCAATTGAATAAGTTAGTGTGTAACAGGAAAAGAACTGGCATTAAAAATTTCTTCCACTGAGAGCTCGGTTGCCCAGTGTCCTTATATCAAAAAGAGGACTTCTTCTCTGGCTCCTGACATCTGAGCCTCTCTGGCTAAATCCCAGCCGCCAATACCTGGAGTCCTGTTTGTGACTTTCTGAAAAAGTGCACAGACAGAGAAGAAAGCGAGAAGAGACAGCAGCACTGCTGAGAAGAGATAGAGTGTTTCTTCGGGGCGAGGGCTTCACACACTCCTCCATCTGAGTCTGGCTGGGCAGGGGTGGGCAGGATGCCAGGCTGTGAGATAGAGAGAGCTGGCACACATGCAGCATTGGGCAGAACTCAACTGATCTGGAGCAGAACCACAGCCACGGCGACTGCGCCGACTAATGACAGCGTGACGTACGCTCGCTTACTCTCACACGCTCTGCAGAAATCCATTCGGTAGATCTAATTTTCCAACGTGGAAAGCAATAATGGAAAGCGACTTTTTTTTTTTTGCTCTTTCTTCTTAATAATCAGCCTGGCTGTAGAGCACAACCGCTCAGCGATCATCATAATACCTCAAGGCCCAGGAACTCAAGAGGGGCAACACAGATCAAACTGACTGAAAGTTAGAACGTTATAGAGATTATTTATAGTCCTCATATCTCCGTTATTACAATGTCAATATGCACTAAATCCAGCCTCTGCTCAACAGCCTCTCAATCCAATGCCCATAAGATAAGCGTGGTAAATCTTACCTTAAAACAAAGGCTAGTATTAAAATCTCCAGAATACTGCACAAAGAAAATGGAACTTCACAAATACAAAATTAACCCACAAGAGGCCATGTGCTAGTGATTTTTACCATGGAAGAAGCAGGTTGTCAATATGAAGAGGTATAATCACAGTGGCTTCTTGGTTTAAGAAATAACCAAGGCACTAATGTCCAATAAATAATTTAAGTAATATAGCTTTTGTGTAATAATCTCCTCACAGTTGCCAATCAATATGATGCAAACCCTTCAGTTTGTTTTGTTGCATGTTATAGCTTGCATCTTAAATTGGTAACATTTTGCTAAATTACATACTACATTCAGTATTCACACATACGTCTGAATTTGTAATATAAAAAAAATAATTGACTGATACCACTGATTCAATGCTGTCAATTTAAATGAGAAGCAAGTCTGTAATTACAATTAGCCATACAATTACTACGAATGATTAACTCGGTGTTAATGTTCAGTTTCAAATTATTGAAGTATTAAATACATCTGACTATAAAAACTGAAGTTAAGAGCCAAGAGAGTGAGTGGTTCTTATATCCCCCAATTACAAGTTTCATATGGTAATTAGAAATGCAATATAAAGGCCTCTGGTGAATCAAATTTGCAAATTCCATCTGCTTTTGTTTTACCCTAATATTGGTTATTGAAGCAGAATAAAGCTGCTTCTGAGCTCAAAACATTATAAATACTAAAAACTGTATAAAAACAGTTCTTTTTTCTAAACAGTTTCTAAGTGCAATATTTCACAATTCCACTGTTTTTAATGCATTTTGACTAAATAAATGCAGCCTTGTTGAGCGGAAGAGACTTCTTTCAAAAACACAAAAAAATCTTAGAAGCCCAAACTTTTAAATGGTAATGTACATACGCAACCCATGTAAGGTCAGGTCATTGTTCTGT